CCACTACCCAGGGCTGGGGAAAGGGAGGGAAGGTCAAATTTGAATAATTACACTTAATTATACATTATATATCGACAACAACAAATTGTTTATATTCAATTTCTTATTTTGATGTTCATTACAGTAAAAAGAGGAAATGAAGGCACTCTCCATTCATGCAGCAAATTTTGTGTATTTTGTGTTTTCACTTTTCCTGAGGAAAATATGCAAAGACGCACAGACACACGCACACACACACGCACATGTAGGGTAAACATATCCTTATGGGGACCGCTCATTCATTTCAATGGGAAAAATGCTAATGCTATATTTCATGACAACCTTAATCCCCACCCTGCCCTAACCATAACCATAAGTAACCTAACAAAATACAAGAGTTTTTGCATTTTTAGTTTTTTCATAGCAGTCACCGATTTTTATAAAATAGAGTTTTCCCTTATGGGGACCAGGAAACCGGTCCCCCTAAGGGAAAAAAAACGGATATTTATCACGTTATGGGGACATTATGTCCCCATAAGGATAGGTAAACCCGCTCGCACACACGCACACACCTTCCCTAAACTGTTCCCACAAAGTTGGAATAAAAAATTTTTGAATTGTCTAAAACGTCTTGGTATGCTGAAGCATTAAGAGTTCCCTTCACTGGAACTAAGGGGCCCAGCCCAACCCCTGAAAAACAACCCCATACCATTATCCCTCCTCCACCAAACTTTACAGTTGGCACACCGCAGTCAGGCAGGTAACGTTCTCCTGGCATCCGCGAAACCTTCCATTCGACTACCAGACAGAGACGCGTGATTCACTCCACAGAACACATTGTCATTGCTCCAAGTGGCAGCGTGCTTCACAGCACTCCATCTGATGTTTGGCATTGCGCTTGGTGATGTGAGGTTTGCATGCAGCTGCTCGGACATGGAAGCCCCTTCCATGAAGCTCCGGGCACAGTCTGTGTGCTGGGGTTAATGCCAGAGGAAGTGTGGAACTCTGCAGTTACTGAGTCAACAGAACGTTGGCAACATTTATGCACTACGCACCTCAGCACTCAGCGACCCCCCCGTCACTTTACATGTGATGAATTTCTGTTGTTTCTAAACGCTTCCACTTTACAGTAATACCACTTACAATTAACCATGGAATATCTAGCAGGGAAGAAATTATATGAATTGACTGCAAAGGTGGCATCTTATGACAGAACCACACTTGAATTCACTGAGCTCTTCAGAACGACCCATTCTTTCACAAATGTTTGTAGACCTGACTGCATAGTTAGGTGCTTGATTTCAAACAACTGTGGCAATGGTTCCAAATTGAACTCCTGAATTCAATGATTAATTAATAGGTGTGTCCCAATACTTTTGTCCATAGAGTGTGTGTGTCTGTGTGTGTGTGTGAATTATGTTTATATTTCATTGTGGGGACCAAACGTCCCCCACAATGTAATAAAGACCCATTATTTCGACTTGGTGGGGATCATTTTTCAGGTCTCCACAAAGATCTGTTAATGCAATCAAAAAAGTAAAAATGCCAAATGACTTGTTTTTTGTTCGTTTAGGGCTGGGTAGGGGTTAAGGTCGTCATGTTGGGATTAAAGTTTTCCCCATAGAAATGAATGGAGAGGCCCGACAAAGATATAATTACAAACCTGTGTGTGTGTGTGTGTCTGTATTTT